TTACTCATAATTAGTAATTAAGTAAAATGTTGTTAGAGTAAGTGTCCTGGAGCCAATAATATTTTGTAGTTGACTCTATGTATATACGTTTATTCATTAATGAAAGGCAAATTTTCTATATCATATAACTCATATTATTTGTGTTATGATATATGTCTTTAGAATGGTAAAACTGTGACGAGAGAATCAAGTGTTTTAAATCTTGATTGTAAGGACCCTGAGTATATATGATGGTCATTCTAGAAATATTCGTAGCCTCAGTATTATTATGATCAAGGGCACAGATAGTACGGTAAAGCTATCATCGTGTTGAACAATCCTACCAAGAGGTAGTGACAAATCTCACATGTCAAGGTTGTTTGGTGACAACCTGATGCAACACATGGGTGCTTGTTGTAAGCAAGTTCACTGGCCAGGATTCCATGTATATGATAACCCCAGTGTCTATGAAATAAATCCTCTAATGAATGGTGGTGCATGTGATCCTTAGACTTGAGATCCTTAGACTTGAGATCATTGGAGCGCCTTGTGTACCTATTGGTGTAGTTTGACACTAGCCCAATGTAGTCATTTTTCTTAAGGCTATCAAAATGGTAGTGATTGGCTACATCGAGAAGTATATTGAGACTATAGTGGATCAATAAAAAATTCCTTACTCTTGATTATGGGAGTAGTTATCTCACCCCGCAGTTTGGTTGATAAACAATGGCTCCAAATTTGTGGCCACGATGGAATTGATTTATCGCTTAAATTCAATTATAATTCAGTCGTTTGTTTAATAACCAAACACCAACATATCAAGGATCAAATATGAGGATGGCACTATTTTTATGCCTCGGCCTTGATGGATAACATATGATGAAAGGATTATTAGGAATTAATCAAACAAATACATAGCGGAAAAAAAAAATTACTGATTAAAACCTAAAGCCCAAAATCCTTATAAGAGATTTAACGTTGTTTACATGCTTAAGAACAATAAAAACCATTCAAGGTTTCGATTTCTCACCCACGTTGATGGCTTCTTCAATTGATTGTTGAAAATGCTCCCACTTCAAGGATAGAAGTGAATTAACAGAAATCCACACAAAGGCAAGACTCCACACATAATCAATTTGCTATAGTGATTTATGTAGTTTGAAGAAGAAAAGAGTTAAGAAAATTTTTAGAGAAAATTCTTCTCTCAACCTTTATCTTGGGCGGCAATTCAAGGGTTATGGGAGATATAGGGAAAAGTGCTTTTTTATAGGCCAACCCTAATCTCCTCTTTTAGGATATATTACTAATATACCCCTATCTAATTAAATAACTAGATATAATGATTTCTGAAGAAATTAATTAACCAAGTATTAAGCAATTATCATTTTATTCATTCAATATTTAAAACATATATACACCAATATATATATTTAAATAATGACATTTTATATATTTAGAATATACATACGACAATATATATATATATATATATATATATATAGATATATATATATATATATATACAGGAAACAATAGTTCCAGCAAATTTAATTGCTCCATAAGATTTAACAAAATAACCTTTCATTTGTAAATGACGAAAATACCCCCCACTCGTTATCTTCTTTAAATTGTCTTTTAAGTTTGTGACCCGTAGGCTCCTCATCATATCAGTAGTAGGTAATATAGCGATCAACACCCTATTAATTGTCTCATTAGACACATACCAAGATTGGCCTCTAGCAAGGCATCATGGCCACTTGACAAATTCAGATTCAGTGTATTCGCTACCTGTCAACAGTATGGTTATTCTGCAATCAAATCTTTTCATTATCTATTATCTCATCAAGGTTTGAAGCACATAAATAATGTCAGCTTCAAGTATGAACCACCTTGATATATTCAGATTCGATCATCGGACCAATCGACCAACCGAGCAACAACTCGATTCCACTGTGGCCATAGATTTAAGGTCATTGTCTATTACTGAATATCTCACTGAGATAATTTCTCCTATACCTAGGAGTGACGAATCCTTTGTTGATCCATCATAACTATAGTGTACTTCTCAATGCAGCCAATCACCACCATACTGATAACCCTGAACAGGATTACGTTAGGCTAGTGTCAAACTATACCAATGTTTACACACGATGCTATGTTGATCTCAAGTCTAAGGACCACATGCACCACCATCCATTAGAGGATGTATTCCATAGATATTGAGGTTACCATCTATATAGAATCCTTTGTATGGTCCATTCTGGTGAACTCATGAATAACAAGCATCCATGCATCGCACCAATTGTCACCAAACAACCTTGACACGCCAGATCTGTCACTAGCTTTAGGTAGGGTCGTTCAACGCTATGATAGACTTACCGTATTATCTGTGCCCTGAGTCAGGATAATATTGGGGCTATTGACGTTTCTAGAATGGCCACCATAAGTGATCATAAGGATGTCACAATTTAGACTTATCACTGCTTGATTCCCTCGTCACGGTTCGACCACTTTAAGGACATATATTAACACATACTTATAGAATATGATTTACATAATATAAATGTGCATTTTATTAATAGAATAACATGATCCATAGAGTTGATATACAACAATATGATTGGCTTTAGGGCACATACTCTAACAAGAATTTGATTGCACGGTAACTATACTATTGACATGTAACAACTTTTGCTAAATCTTTGTCTGTTGGGTGGCAATGATGCCTTGTTAGAGGTCTGTAACAACTGCTGTAAACTAGTAAAATGCTTGCATAATAATAATAGAAATTGGGCCCAAAACTTTTCTTTCTATTATATGTAATAAATCTTTTATATACAAAGAGTATTATTTTACAAAATGCTATTTAAAACAAAAACAGGGGAAACAGTGTAGCTATTGCTCCTCGCTTGCCGACGCCCCTCCGACTGCATCAACACCTAGATCTTGCATCCACAAAGGAAAATGACAGGGTGAGCACAAAATAATGCTCAATAAGTAAACTCTCTATCTGTCTATCCCCGTAACTATTTTTCTTAATTCCTTCCTCACACTTTCTTTCTATTGTTTTCTATTAACGTTATGACCTCATCTTACCTGAGGTACGGCTGGATGACGTTCACACAACACCATCTCACTCTTCATGACTGTCGAGTGGAGTTCACACAGCACCAACCCGCTCTTAGTGACTACCGAGTGGGGATCACAAAGCATCTACACAGTTTTCATAACTATCGGGTGGAGACCACAAAGCACCTACCCGTTTCTCATGACTTTTGGGTGATGATCACAAAGCATCAATCCTTTTCTAATAACCATCGGGTGACGATCACAAAGCATCACTCCTTTTCTAATAAGTATCGGGTGACGATCACAAAGCATCACTCATTTTCTAATAACTATCGGGTGACGATCACAAAGCATCACTCCTTTTCTAATAACTATCGGGTGACGATCACAAAGCATTGACTCATTTCTACTAAATATCAGGTGACGATTACTAAGCATCAGCCCATTTCTACTAAATATCGAGTGACGATCACAAAGCATCAACCCGTTTCTAATAACTTTCTCTATTCTAGCACTTCTCATTCTCTCTACCCGTAGAGTAGTTGCATTCACAAAGTTCTCTACTCATAAAGCAAATGCATACACAAAGTTTTCTACTCTTCTTAAGTCACTTCTCAATGCACAAATAATGCATATGGATGGTTCATCTCCACTAATGCACTTATGAAATACCAACAAGCAATGTTGCAAGAATTAAGGTTCACTACTCATACTCAAACCTCTACTAGGCATTTCATCAAACAACTCAAGCATAACAAAACTCTACTATAACAATAATTCTATGTCTTTCTCTAACCATCCAAAATGGGAGAAAACTCCCTCACATAGCTACAAATCCTGCCAAGGAATAACACTTCTAAAAAGGATTTCTCAATATCCTTCCATTCCATCTCAAACTACATTCTCACCCCACATCTCACTTCTCTTAATTGAAGTGTATGAACAACCATAAAGCAATAATTATCTCCATTTAAACCTTAATAACATAGCATATCACATGTATATACATACACACATAATTGNCCACCATAAGTGATCATAAGGATGTCACAATTTAGACTTATCACTGCTTGATTCCCTCGTCACGGTTCAACCACTTTAAGGACATATATTAACACATACTTATAGAATATGATTTACATAATATAAATGTGCATTTTATTAATAGAATAACATGATCCATAGAGTTGATATACAACAATATGATTAGCTCTAGGACACATACTCTAACAAGAATTTGATTGCTCGATAACTATATACTATTGACATGTAACAACTTTTGCTAAATCTTTGTCTGTTGGGTGGCAATAATGCCTTGTTAGAGGCCAACCTTTGTATATGTATAGAGAGATGATTGATTGGTGGTCAATCATGATTCTATTCACTGCCAACATGATAGGGGCCTATGGGGTCACACACATGAGAAGGTTGAATGCCAAAGATTTAATGCTTTAAGGGTTTATGGAGTGGACTGTAATGTTTCTAGAATTATGTTGTTGCATAATTTTGGGGATTGGTGATGACAATTCTGATCTCTTTAATAAACCGAGTCAAGAAGGCATTTAAAGGTTTTTCAGTTAAAAGGGCATTTTGGTTTTTTGATAAAATGGGTATTTATATAATTTTGCTGTGTAATTGAGTGAATGTAAAATTCACTTAATTATGGGGTTGTTGCCTATGTTTATTCCTCCATGGAATGGAATTAGCAAAATTACAAATATTAAAATTAAATAAAATACCCACTAAGTCTATTCTACTTTGGATTACCATAAAACCTATTCTACTTTGGAATAGTGTTATACATATTCCCATATGGATTAGGGTTAACTTAAGTGTGCATATTAAAGCACACTTATTGTAGAATAAAAATGCGTAATCTTGAGAAGTGGTGTTGTTCTTAAAATAGAAAATCAAAACCCACAGCCGCACCTTTCACTCAAATTGTAAACCGCAAACATTATTCAATCTAGTAGTTGACTTTGTTCTTGACTAATTTGGGTGCCTTCGTGTGGATACCATGAGTTTGATTCGACTCTTGAATAGGTTTCCAAAATAATCGAATCAAAGAGAAGGAGCCGTCAACAAAGGTATAAACTAAACTTGTATGGTTTTCTTTTAAACATAAACACATATAATCAACTCTCTGATCATGGGTTTTCGAGGAATTATTAAAAAGAAAAATTTCTTCCGTTGTGTCTTAACGATAATTCCTTATAGTGGTATTAGACCTTAGGGTTTTTGATTATACGTGTTTAGTTAATTGAATGGAAACATGTATTTGTTTTTTAGAATTGCATGTTTTAAGGTTTATATGGATTCAATTAATTTGATTGATTAATTGAATGATTGATTGATTTTAAGATTTGTTGGTTGAATTATTTGGTTTAAGGATATTGAAGTTTTGATGAGTTAAAATTCTTAGCCATGTGTTGCCGCACACGGCCAAATCCCATGGTTGTGTGTTGCTGCATATAGCCACAAGTTGTGCGTGCTACTTGTAGTACCAAATAGCAGCCTATGCATTGTTGCGCGTAGGTAGCTGATTGTTGCCTGCGTTAAGCAGCAGGTTGCATTGATGCCTGCTGCCCAATGCAGCAACGAGCAAATACTCAAGTGTAATTGCACGTAAACTGCCTACCCGCTACTCGTGGCAATAGTGAGCAAGTGCTTGCACATTGTTGGGTGCAAGCTACTTGCTAGCTGTTCATGGTAGCATCAAGCAGGTGCTCGTGCGTAGTTGTGTGTGAGCTGCCTGCTCATAGCTCATAGCAGTAGTTGTTGCTTGCAGCAGAAAGTGGGAAGACTTATTTGCGCATTGTCGCGCACAGGCAAGTTGTGGCTAGCCTCGCAGGCACTTGTCCGATTGCTCCAGCAAGCAAAGGCAAGGTTGTCTGCATGCTTACACCCGTAGGCAAGTCCGCAAGTAGGCAATTCGTGAAGTTGTTTCGTGGTTGAGTGAGAGTTGCCTTAATTATTTCATGAAGGCAATGACCATTTTGCTCTTATTCACGAGCTTGCAAATAGTCCTTGTGTTGGTGCACATGGGCTTGACGTTTGTGCATTGTTGTGCACAAACTAATGAAATTATAGCATACATGTTGTCGCATGTTTGGGGTTAACTTGCAATTTCTAGAACTTTTGGACCAATAATAATTCTAAAAATTTCAAAGGGGTAAAAGTAATTTTACTAAAGTTATTAAAAATTGATTTTTTTGAATGTTTGCTATTTCTTGATGTATGACTATGGATGGTGTCTAGTAAATGAGCCTTTTAACCTATGGATGTATTTTAATCTTTTAGGTATGTATGATTGTAAATTATAATTTAATTAAAATAGGGCCTGTGTGCCCTACATTTCTCTTTACTTCTTGATGTGAGTTCTCTTCTCATCACACTCCCCTCAAATGTAACTCGAGGTTTCTAAATTTATTGATATAAAATTAGTGTAGGTTTTAATTTTACCGTAAATTTGAGAGATATAATTTGTAATGTACTTGAAAATGGAACAAGGGAGCTGCAGTCATACTAGAAGACTCAAGAAGTTTTAATAAAGGACCTGTAGGTTGACTTAATGATCCCTCTAGGCTTAAGGAAACAGATTTTAGCTAGGCCATGTACTGGCAAGTTTATTTTAATAGTATGCATGCTAGGTTTAAGGGGTTTTGAAGAGGAAAGGTTGGAGGTTGAAAGGGTAGTGGAAGATTAGATTTTGGCGCCTGAATAAAGTGGAATCGGCACAAAAATAGCAAAACCCAAACTTGGGATGACCAACGAATGATGGGGTAAAAGATGCGAGGATCAAGGTGATTTTGGTCAAGGGAGGACAAGGAATCTGGTGATGGTCATGGTCATGGTCATGGTCATGGTCATGGGGGAGGCCAACCATGCCGAATTTTGGCCAAATCGACTGTAGATGGCGATTCAAACGTTGGTTTAGAGTTTTTATGTATTTCTTGGTTTTTGAATGGAATTGATGACTGGAGGTTGATTGGGATTGTTTTAGAAGTGTTTGGTATTGTTTTTTCTGGGTTTTTGGATCGATTCCAGCATTGAAGATTGGAGATTTTGAAGTTAGCACTTCAATTGTTCGACAAAAGGCTTAAGCCAACTGTCGTGGACCTCACCTGCCCAACCGATGCCTTCAAGCCTTTTGCCATCGATCTCACCTGCCCACCCGACTGTTGAACCGCACGATAGCATCACGCCCACTTGCTACTGTGATTGTGTGTGTTTGGTTGAGAGATTGTTGGGTTTTGGAGAGTTGTGTTTGTTTTAATTGTTGATTGGAATTGATTGAATGGTGGGTTGATTGATTAAAAAAATTAGACTAGATGGAGGTGTTATTGGTGGTGGTGGAGCAGGAGGATAAAAAGGTGGAGTTGGTGGTGGGTCATGATAGAGGCTAAGAAGAGAAGAGAAGAAGAAGAGAGATGGGAATTTTTGTCCTCACAATGAACATCACTATATTTAACGAAAATTATTAGTGAAATATAACGTTTGGGTAGTAAAGTTGTATTTTGAAACTTTTTATGGGGCAAAGTGTCATTACGGAAAATAGTCGTTTACTCTTTTTAAAATTAACAAATGAGTAATATGAGAAATAGTTTTCAGCTTGGTGTAACCTGTCCATTGAACATGGCATGCTTTTAAGGAGCTATTTTCATTAATTTGCAACCCAACTATATGAAGATCAACTAAACCAAACAATATCTTCTCCCTTGTGAAGATATTGCTTCTATTGGGACAAATTAGAACTATAAGCAGTGTTCTGGACTTGCTCACATTAGCCTGTTAAGGTATTTATTCAGTGAGTCTTACAAGAACATAGAAATCAATAATTTGACTATGCTTTAGCAGAGTTTTTGTTAATTTGTATATTTCTACTAGGCAATTTATAGAAGAAGAACCATGTTACTTTGGTGGAAGGTTTATTCACATGAAGGCATTGTAAGTGATTGATCTCGATAAGGCAGTGGAAAAATAAAAATAAAAGAGAAAATCAATCACTTTTTCTATGCCAAGATCCGGGTATAGATCAAACTGTTTACAAGCTAATAAACAGAAAAATATGTACAATGTAAATCAAAACCAATAATCCATACAAGGATTAGGAATACATTACCAACGTTTGAAGGCTCCTTCAATACTTTGATTTCGCTTGCCGATTCAAGAAGAGAATCGCACGAACGTCGTCCACACAAAGATAATCTATAGAACCTACTATTGTTTTGCTTGAACTAATAGAAGGCTTCAAGAATCAAGTGAATCAAAAGAAAAATCTTTGATTCACATACACTTTGAAGTTTGAAAAACATGAGAGAGAAGAAAAAGGTGGCTAGGGTTTTTCTTTTCAATCAATGAATGAATTGTTATATTATGTTTTAATTAAGTTTCACTTATATAGTGTCACTTAATTAAAACCCTAATCCCAATAGGAATAGCCATGAACTTTTAAGTTAATTCATCCTTGCCACCAAACGCACCCTTTATGGTATTTTAATTTTAATTGATTATTAATATAATTAAAATCAATTAACATTTAATTGTTAATGATAATCCATTTAAATATATGCGCACATATATTTAAATATAATCTCACTAATTTTAATTTTAATATTAAAATTAAATACAGGCAACAACCTCAACAAATTTAATTGCACTGTGAGATTACCAAAATTGTTAGAGTAGATGTCCTAGAGCCAATCAATTATTGTAGAATTGACTTTTTGTAATAATGTTCATTAATCAATAAAAGACATTTTATTCTATATCGCGTAAATCATTATTATTGCAATATGTATTGATATATGTCTTTAGAATGGTGGAACCGTGACGAGGGTATCAAGTGTTTTAAATCTTGATAGTGAGAACTAGGTGTGCATACGAGCCGAGCCGAGCTGAGTAGCAGCTGGCTCGAGCTCGGCTCGGTGAGATAAGGTGGGAGCTCGTCGAGCTCCAGCTTGTGAGCTCGAGCTCGGCTCGTCAATTAAACTACATGGCTCGAGCTCGACTCGGCTCGACTCGTGTAGTTCCGAGCTGAGCCGAGCCGAGTTCGAGCTCGAGCCAAGCTCGTTTGCAGCTTTTTCCCAGCAAATCAAAGCACAGCGTCTTCTTCTTCTTCTTTCGTTTTCCCAAAACTGCCACTTCTCATCAATGTGAATTACCACTGCAATTTACACCTTCTTCTTCCACAACTCTTTTTCATTCTCTCTCTCTTCAAACCCAGCTTCAACTATTGCAATTATTTTCATTTTTTGTGTAAAATGAACACATTTGTCTCTCATGAACTCAACAACTCATCTGGGTTTTTCTCAAAACACATTTTACACAGCAAATCAAAATGAACAGCAAATCAAAATTAACAAAATCAGTCATTGACGGTAAGGGAATCAAAGTTTATTTTGTTAGTGGAACTCGCTTACCTCATGGCAACGACGTGGTGCATACCTTGCCTGAAACTTTTTATGTGGTGGATTTTTGAACCTTTTAATTCTGGACTGATCAAATTCTTTAGTTTTCTTCATCGCATATGATTGATCTTTATGAAAAAGAAACACCTTGTGGAGCGTGTGGTGCATAATGCTTGTTATTCAAGCAAAAGCAAATGGCATTTGTTAATGCTCGTTTATGGCACCAACCAATTCTCACGTGGATAATGCTATTTGATGAATTAACACACGTGATAATGGATGCCTCAAATGAAATAAATGCAAAGAAGGCTTTTAAAGTGGTTCGGATGCTAAGGTAGCAAATCCTACGTCCACTGATTTGTATTGATATTAGTGTGGGTCAGGTCGCGAAGCGGACTGACGTACAAAAAGTTATGAAAAGTAAGTGTTTTTCTTTTACAAGAGAGAGAGTTGTTTTTTGTCAAGAATGGCCGAATCCCCCTAATGGAGGGGTCTTCCTCATTTTATTTCAAACTGAAGCGTGTAATCATCATTAAATCCATGGGTTGGTGTGATTGTCAGGATGTAATCCGGCTTTACGTCCCATTTTCCTTTTTCCAAGCTGATTTCGCACGACTTGCTGCAGAGGAATGGACGCGTGTGAGCTCCATGTTACTTTGAAGGTCTGACGTGTGCATGTTGCCCTGACGGGAGCAGGTCACCCGTAACGTGACTTTCCCACGTCAGCCCTTTATTTCCCAGGGTATAACAGCATTTGTATATAAACGTGTAATGAACTGTCATAAACGCAAAGCACCCACAAAAGTTTCAAGTGTTTCAAGTTCATAGAAATAGAGCTCTGAAACTGCTCATTTCAACTAACATTTGTCATCTTTTGGTAGTAGGTAAAGCTAATCAATGGCTTTTCTTCTCTGTTTTCCACTTTTGGCAGATGGCTTGTGTTCATGTAATGTCTTTGATATATAAGGTCATCTACTTATATGTTGATGATTATAACGATGCTGGTTTGCATCCGAAAAAGTTTCAACTGTAACATGTTCGTATTTTACACATGTGCCGCAGGTTGCAGAGATTTTTTCTGTCGAAAGTAGAACAGAACTTTCAGTGCATCGTTCTTCTTTTTTTATTTTTTTTATTTTCGCATTGTGTAATATTTTGATGGGCAAACCCGGTTTTAGATTTCTGGTTTTACATTCTCTATCTATTTTCCTTATTGTCCGAGATTCAATTGTTACTGGAGAGAGGAGAACCAAACAATGAAACAAACACTCTGTTTTTGAGATCTCTGTTTTTATTACCAGTTTTTTGAAATACTTGCAAGATCAGTTTTCTTATATTTTGGATTTGATCAATAGTGTGATTTTACTTTTTAAACTAATTAACATACTAAAATTGTTAAACTTGACGGGAATGGCTAAGGACTCAAAGTCCTTCTCTAAGTATTATTCAGATTCTTTAGTTTTTCTGAACGGTTTACACAATTCGATTCCAATTTCCAAGTATTATTCAGATTTTTGTTAGTAGATGCCCCCGAAAGCTGATGATTCAAGTGGGTTCCGTAATATATATTCTAGATATACAAAAACATATAATATATTGTATTCCAACGACTTCAGACACATCTCTAAGGCTGCTAATGCCTATACCAAAACCAAATTAGTCTAAAATTCTTAAAATAATAGTCATAAAACGAGTTTAATATATTAATGTATGGTGGTAATTAAATCAAAACTCACATTATTGGGAGCCTATGGGTCCACAGTATATATATAAAAATTGGCAATATATAATATTGTATTGGAGGAAAGTTACAAGAAGAAAGGAATGACTAATGTAATATCAAAGCACTGCATTTTAGAGAGGCCAATGGAAATCCTAGAAAACAAAAACTGATTGCAGTGGAGGAAATTGTCAGCGGCATTAATGAAAGACAAATCACGAGCAGAGTGTAGAGAACCCAGAATGCATGCTTTACGTATATAATGAATAAAAACAGTCAGTTGATATAATCTTTTGCTAATACTTCCCCTTAAGAAAAAATGGTTTACTTTTCAACTATTCAATATGCCTCCTCAAATCAACTTCCAAACCTGCATTAATCTGCAGCTTAAACCATTTTCTCAAGTCAACTCATTAAACTTCAAAATTTCACATTTAAAATTGCAACAATTAAACTTGCAGCAATATCAGCTCCAACAAATTTGCAGCTCTGCAACAATCAACTCATCAACAACCTACAATCAACTCCTTAAACCAACTGCATTAATCTGCAGTGCAAATCAACTGCAATTCAACCATAAACCTGCAGTTCTACACTAATATCTGCAGCAAATCTGCAGTTCTGCAACAATCAACTCCTCAAACCAAGCTGCATTAATCCTGGTAGTGCAAATTAACTGCAACTCAGCCATTAAACCTGCAGTTCTACACTAATACTTGCAGCAAATCTACAGCTCTGCAACAATCAATTCCTCAAATCAACTCTTCTCTTAGAGGCATTTCATCAAACAAATAACAACTTCTCTACAGACTTCCAAAAATTAATGCAACTCATATCACCCATCTTCCAATTTCCAAATACGCAGCAAAGTCAACATAAACCCAGAAGAATTCGTAACTAAAGAGAGAGAAAAACAAAGAAATTTGTAATCAACTTAAACAAGTAGAATGAGACTCACGGCAAGAGACAACTTTGGGTGTCAAAAAGTAGCAAAATGTACCTTGTGGCAGTAGGGAAGTGAAGAAGGGAAGACGATGGTGGACGGTAGTAGCTGAAATTGGTCGATGGTCGACACTAGTTGAATGAAGGCTGGATGAAGGCTAGACAATGGTGGTTTCAAATCTTGCGCTGTGTTTTGGAGGTGAATAGTTGAATCTCTGTTTTTGGCCGAAAGAATGACTTGATTTCAGATTTTAGGGGAAATATTAACACAGCTCGATCTCCTGCTCGAATGACATCTCCAGTTCGCCGAACAGCTCGCGAATAGTTCGAGTCGAGCCTGAAAAGGTCGACAGTTTTCACGAGCTTGACGTTGAGCTCGAACTCGAGAACTACTCGTTCTCTGCCGAGTCGAGCCCGAGCTCGACACTAGTCGAATCCGAGTAGCTCACGAGCTACTCGGTTCGACTGCAGTCCTAGTGAGAACCCTATGAGCACATAAGGTGGCCATTCTAGAAACGTCCGTAGCCCCAGTATTATTCTGAAGTAAGGGCACAGATAATACGGTAAGGCTATCATGGTGTTGAACGACCCTGTCGAAAGGCAGTGACTGATCTCACTTGTCAAGGTTGTTTGGTGACAACCTAGTTGCAAACCACAGGGTATTTCTATAGGTGATTTTACCATAGCAAGTTCACTGGACAGACCCACCGGAGGATTCTATGGATGGTAACCCCAGTGTCTATGGAAAAAATCCTCCAACAAATGGTGGTGTATGTGATCCTTAGACTTGAGATCACCGAAGCCTGTGCACCAATTGATGCAGTTTGACACTAGCCTAACGCAGTTCTTTCAGAGCTGTCAATATGGTGGTGATTGGCTGCATCGAGTGTGTATCAAGACTATGGTGGATAGACAAAGGATTCATCACTCTCGGGTACGGGAGAGTTATCTTATAGGGCAATTCAGTATATGAATGACACTAAAACTGTGGCCACAGTGGGATTGAGTTGTTGCTTTATCCAGTTTTGATACGAGTCATTGGTCCAGAAACTGAGTACATAATAACGAGAGTAACCGAAGGTTGACACTATTTCTATGCCTTCGTTCATTGAAATAACGTATGATGAAAAGATCAAATTGTACGGTAACCATATCGTTGACAGGTAGCTACTTTGCTGAATCTGAATCTATCGGGTGGCCATGATGCCTTGCTAGGGGCCAATCTTGGTCTGTGTATTAGTGAGACGATTAATTGGTGTTAATCGCGATACTATACAGTGCCAGTATGATGAGGAGCCTGTGGGTCACACAATAGAAGAAATTAAGACTCAGGAGAAAGAGGGTGTTTTCGTCCTTTTAGGCAAAAGGTTATTTTTAGTAATTTCACAGTGCAATTAAATTTGCTGAGGTTGTAGCCTTTATTTAATTTATTAGAAATTAAAAAATGAAATTACATTTAAATATGTGTTCGCATATATTTAATAAATCATCCTTATTATTAAATGTTAATATATATATATATATATATTATATATATATATATATATATATATATAATATATTATATGATTAAATATATATTAATTGATTTAATTGAGATAATGATGAAATAAAATAAATATCTAGTTGGGAGTGTTTGGTAACATGGGGTGTTTGGGTTGGAGCCTTAGCCTATTCCATAAGGGAATAGGGCAATTAGACATTACTATAAAAGAAATGTTTTAATTGTAAGTGAGAGAGGTTTTTCATATGTCATTTGATTGAAAAGAAAGAAAGCCTCCAGCCACAAAAACACTCCACGTTAGTATTGCATTTGCCACAAATCAATCTATTTGAGTTCTTCTCTTATATCTTCAAGCGGAGATATCTGAGAATCCTCTCGTTATTGTGATTGTTTGTGTGGTACGTCGGTTCGATCTACATTGATCGGTACAAAAACGTTTGACAAATTGGAGGAGCCTCCAAACGTGCGTATGTTTTTCTAAACCTGATTAACCTTTTGTGCAGATTTTACTTTAATATAAATTGAAATTATACCCTTGATCTTGGCTCATGTAAATGATCCTTGTATTATATTTTTTTATTCCAATGCGTATATGGATCATTTACTAACAGTGGTATCAGAGCCTAGGGTACCAAATTTACAGTTTTTATGTGGATGGTTGATAACATGTATTTGATGATATTATGCTGCCTTATAGAATCTGCCTAAACTCTGCTTAAAAATGTTTTAAGAAATTTACTATCGATTAATTTAATTTGTTGATGATCTGCAAGTTTGGTATATTGGTGATGGATTTTAAGGTTGAAATTAGTGTGTAGATTGATTGAAAATCCATTTTGAGCGTATATGGTCATTGTATGAACAGATCGGAGCTACAAATCTGTGCACGCTCTCCACGGCGACATAACCATTTGTCGCAGCGAGCGTTGTTCATGCTGATGCTTGACGCAAACACAGCTGCCATGGCTATACAAAGATCGCCGCGGCGATCGTCCTTAGGACGAATGCTGTTTGCAACAGCGCTCGCTGCAGCGATATAACCATCTCTGCGGCGATAGCCTTAGGGAACGCTGTACCAATCGCCACAACGAATGTACATTGAACGTGAACGTCAAGTAATCAATGCACGCTGCAGTGATCTAATTCATCACCATAGCGAGCGCACTCAGTGCAAAGGGGGCTAGATTGTAAAGTTTCAAAACTTTGGACCAAACAAAGATTTACAAATTGTCAGGGGTAAATATATTAACCATAAATTACAAAATTGATTGTTTTTTAAATGTATGCTTTTTACTTGTTGTATATGCATGGTGCTTGGTACATGAGCCTTAGACCTGAGGGTGATGTTTTAAAATAATTTTGGGTATGTATGGTTGTATAATTTTTAAAATAAGGTCTGCGTGTCCTGCCTTTCTCCTCTTCTCCGATGTACATTCTCTTCTCATCTCATCCACTCGAATGTAAATCGAGGTTTCAAAATTTATGATATAAAGAATTTGTATAATATTTATTGCAAATTAGAATGATATTTTTGTAAGTGACTTGAAGACGAGAGCAAAGGTCAAGGCAACCTACTTGTAGACTCAAGATGTTTATTACAGGACCTTAGTGACCCACCGATTCCTCTGGCTCGAGGAAATCGGTTTTAGTTGGGCCATGTACCGACACATTTTGATATTGTGTTTAGAATGCATGCATAGGTAATGAATAACATGCCAAACCATGCATTCTAACAAAGATATAATCTGGTGAGACATTAAATAACAAAACCCTCAATTAAAGTATATTAAGTCACGTACGCCTTCCATCCACCTGGTTAATCAAATCACTGTTCGTCAAAACCTTGTTTTCCAAAGCGAAGGGTACACTTCTACCAGTGGGAGGTTAAAATGCATTAGAGTTTTCCTTAAGGTGATGGGTCGACTTAAAATGAGGTTTTGCTTGTTCACCAAAGCGAAGGTTGATAAACGCGTGTCATAGGCATAGTAGAGCAATCCACATTTGTGTGTACGTGGTGACATGTAGTGTCCACTCTAACTGATATTGAGAATCACACTAGGACGATGGCATATAGTGACCATTGGATTGTGTGATTGGCTTGTTGGCTTTTTCACAT